GCTGGCATCAAGAGATAATTGACATAGCTGAAAAGAAGTACCATAAATCAGACTCAGTCCAAAGATTTTCCGAGGAAGTCAGAGGTCAAGCTCATTTCAGGTCACCCCAGAGCACACATCCATGGTTTCAAGAAAAGGTTGCTTCTGCTTCAGCCACTGATGTGGGATCCTATGTGCCCTAGCTCAGTTGGTCTCACCATCAAGAGTGTAAAGCACCTGCCCAAATGGATTTCAACCTCAATTTAATCAAGAAGCTTACTGAAACTATCCTTGGGTCATGCCTGCTTTTGAAACCTGTGGAATTTCCCCCACCTCCACTCAAGAGTAAGAATGTTAAGGAGCAGGTTTTTGGCTAATCGTATATTGATATTAAGTGTATCAACTATACAATTAATCAGTAAGGGGTGGTTCTGCAGAGTGCCTCATCGGGGGTAGCTCCCAGAGCCAGCGCAAGGTGGGACTGAGTAGTCCTGGCTTGCGCCAGCTCTGGGACCGCTGCTGCTCTGCCTTTTAAATTAGTAAGAGCCACTAGGCTCTTACTAATTTAAAAGGCAAAGCAGCAGTGGAGGTAGGTTCAGGACCTGGCATGAGCCAGGACTGCTCAGATCCAGCTCGCAGTTGGCCACGGGCAGGGGCTGCTGTTGGAGCAGCCTCCCCTATACTCCTTCCCCCACCCCTGCTGCTGCTTCTGAGAGGCAGCAGTGGGAGAGGTGTGGAGGCAGATCGCATTGCAGAGATGGTGTTGAGGGAAACCTGCTTTTAAGCCATTTCCCCCTAGCACTGGCTCCTGCTTCCCCCCCCCCCTTTGCTGCCTCTTATACAGAAGCAGCAAGCGGGGGAAAGGGGAAGCAAGCAGCTGAGTACTCCGCTATTCACTTACATCCCTACTCAAGAGCATCCCCACATCCACTATAGCTGGCTTCCCCATATCCACGATAGCTGGCTTCATCTACTGGTTGCCAGTCTATGAAGGATTTTTTGGCAGACCCAAATTCATGGCCTCTGACTGCACCAGGAAAAAAAAGGGTGGATAGGTGGTACTATGTCCCCTTTCAGGCACTCAAATATCTCTGTAATTGCCTACAGGGCTAGGCATCAACCCTAAAAAACAGAACCCAAGAAGCTAGACTTATTTGGCAGGAAGCTTTATTATACAGAAGCTTTGCTGAGATGCTGTGATTTCATGCTGTGGGATGTGTCAGAGTTCAAGGACAAACTCTCAGATGATGCAACACTGGAGTTCCAGACATTGATCAAGGTGGACAGGTTGGTAGTCAGAACATCTCTTCGGGCAAGTCATGACACTGCAGATTCTGCAGCTAGTAACATGGTTTCTGCCATCACAATGAGGTTTGTGTCCTGGTTACACTCTTCTGGCATCCCTCTAGAGGTGCAACAAACAGGTCAGGATCTCCTATTTGAAGGGCTGTTGCTCTTAGAAAAAACTGATGAAATTTTGTGCGGTCTCAGGCCTGGTCTACATTAGGAGTTTAGGTCGGATTTAGCCACATAAGGTTGTTTTTTCTAAACAATGAGTCCACATTACCAAGCCTATTCCATTGACTTTAAGGGCCACTAACATCTATTTCAGTACTCCTGCTTTTCACGAGGAGTAACGCTAAATTTGACCTTTTATGGTCCACTTTATGGTAGTGTAGACGGAGCATTGCAAAAGTTGACATTCTTGGCCTCCAGAAACCATCTCACAGTGCCCCACTGTGACTGCTCTGCAAGGACTTGCTGCACTACTGCTCTCCAGGTGAACAGGAAAAGCCCTGGGAAACTGAATTTCATTTCCTTGGTGGACAGCATGGCAAAAATACCTCTGAGCAGGCGGAACACCTGAGCAGCACACCTCGCCATGAGTTCTATGAGATTAAGTCCCATGAGCTCTAGTTCCCATGGGCATAGATGAGCATCAGCATGGAGTGTGAAGGAGATCTTGGACCTCATCAATACATGGGAGAGGAATGATTAGGGGGGTTGAAACAGCTGCCATATGAAGAGAGATTAAAAAGACGGGGACTTCTCAGCTTAGAAAAAAGGAGATTTAAAGGGGGAGATAATAGAGGTCTATAAAATCATGACTGGTGTGGAGAAAGTGAATAAGGAAGAATTATTTACTTGTTCCTATCACACAAGAACCAAATGAAATTAATAGGTAGCAGGTTTAAAACAAACGAAAGTAAGTATTTCTTCACGTAGCACACATCCACCCGTAAAACTCTTTGCCAGAGGATGATGTGAAGACCAGGACTTTAACAGGGTTCAAAAAAGAAGTAGACAAATTCATGGAGGATAGGTCCATCAATGTGTATTAGCCAGGATGGATAGGAATGGTGTCCCTAGACTCTGTTTGTCAAAAGCTGGAAATAGATGACTGGGGAGGGATCACTTGATGACTACCTGTTCTGTTCATTCCCTCTAGGGCATCTGGCATTGGCCACTTTGTAAAACAGGATACCAAGCTAGATGGACCTTTGGTCTGATGCAGTATGGTTGTTTTTATGTTCTTACACCCTTATTTATTCAAGATTAACTTTCACAAGAAGACAAGCCCTTTGAGAAGCTGGTGTTCTTGTCCTTTATCCAAGTTCTGCTCCTTGTAATCTCACACTTGAATCTCTCATGATTTTCTAGGATTAGGCACAAGCTTTTTGTTTTCACTAGTAACCATTATAAATGCTTTACAGATTTGCCAATTAAGATGCAAATTTCTGAAAATTAAAATGTGGAAGACTAGAATTAATTATACCTTTAGTTTCTGAAGCTGTTTTTTGTGGAACAGAACTTCAAATATGAAAAATACTACGCTGAACACTTCAGAGTTTGTTTAATGTTGAGTATTCCCAAAATAATTCTACTTGTTGTTTGGTTTTAATAATTCAAGTAGTAGTTTTTAATCTAATTTCTTTGTTTTTAAAATGTCATGTTATATTGAATATATGAAGTTTCAAACTTTCCTCATAAATCAGAAACAATGAAGATTGGGTGGAACTTTTAGTTTCATTCCAGTCTGATTACTTTCAAAATCCTTTGGGTTTTCTCCTAAGAATAGATGACCTCTGTTTAATAATCTGAACTCTCTAGTTCTAGTTGTCTAGAAAAAAAGCTAGTAAAGTTGCTAATAAAGGGTTTGACACTCTCATTTGTGCATTTGGAGAGTTTAAATAATGAGCACAAATCAGTGTCCTTTAAGGGCTAGCAACCAGTATTTGTATCTGTGTTCTCTGTAGAATAATACTTCTGACATGCAGGTGATATTAAACATTTTGTGAGGGTTTTTTTAATGCACTTTTTGAAAGAAGCTTATTGATGAGAAATTATTGTAGTACTTGCTAAGGATTCCTTTTTTCTTCCGATTTTTTTAAAGAACTTCATTTTCACTTTGTCAAAGATATAAATGAATACTTTTTTTTAAATTCTAGGCTATATGCTTTCTATGCTGAGGATTTGAAATAATTGCCTAGTAGTTTGAATACATTAACATGGAAATTCCCATGTAGTAAGAAGATTTGACAGTTGACATTAACAATTGCTGCAGGAAAATTCTCTTGAAATTGGGCTCACCATTCTTCTGGTCTGCAGAAAGGCTTTGTCAGACCTTCCAGGCATAATGTAGTGACTTGACTATATGGGAAATTTGCTAGTTCTGTCTCCAGTTTTGTCAAGACATTGGGTTGCCAAATTTTGAAATACTGAAGCATTTGGATGAAGTCAAGTAGGTGTCATGTTTTTCTCCCTTAGCCTCTCCACTACCTTTGTTCACAATGCTTGGTAGGAGTGGTTGAAATGACCTACTATGGTTCTATGCGTGGCCATCATTGTCAATGCACAGGGTTGCCAGATTCTGCTGGTTTCTGTCACTGTCATTTTCCTACCAGTATTATTAAAGTAGTAAAGCAAAGGCATGTGAAGTGGGACAGCCATACTGGGTTAGACCAAAGGTCCATCTGGCTCAGTATTCTGTCTTCTAATGGTGGCCAATGCCAGGTGCCCCAGAGGGAGTGAACAGAACAGGTTATCATCAAGTGATCCCTCTCCTGACATCTATTTCTTGCCCCTGACAAACAGAGGCTAGGGCAGGCCTTGGCAAAATGTGGCCTACGTGCCAGATGCAGCTCACCAAGCCACTGGATCTGGCCCAGGAAGGCAGCGGGGAGCGGCTGCCGGGCTTCCTTTCTGTTTCAAAACTGGAGGAGTGGGAGGATGTTTCAGGAGCTGCCCCGTCCCCAGCACAATCCCATTGGCCGGTTTCTGGCCAGAAACCAGCCAATGGGAGTTGTTCCTTGGAATAAAGGCAGACAAGAAAAAACGCACCCTCTCTCCTTGGCTCATTTGTTCACTGAAACATATGGCCAGGCAATCAGGCAGGCGGGCTGGCTGGGAAACATTTTAAACTCTGCAAACCTTAGCTCTGCAGCCAGGCTGGTAAGTCTCCTGCTGGCTGGAGCCCACAAAATCTACTTGCCTAGCCCCCCTCCCTGCAGGCTCTGGTGTGCAAGGGGAACACGAAGAGGGTCTTATTCCTTCTCAGTCAGGGGCTTCTCACTTTGTGTGCACCCCCAACTCATTTTTCTGTGGGTCAGCAGCCCCTGGCCCAATAAAGGTTCCTCACCCCAGCTCTGAGAGGCGTCAGCTTTTCGGAACGGGGCACAGACAGGTAGGAGCCTGAGCCCAGACCCTTGACAATGTTTTGCCACTGAACTCCCATGGAGTTTAGACCCCAAAATATCTTTTGAAGGTTCGGGCCTCCAGGCCCCGTTCCCCCCGAGCACAGGATGCGAAAGCTTATGCTCCAACAGTTCAGTAAAAGTACCACAGGACTCCTCGCCGCTTTTGCAGATTCAGACTAACATGGCTAACCCTCTGATACTAGTCTCCCTCCTGCACCTCAATCCCTTACCCCAAGCTCCCTCCTGCACCCAACCTCCATCCCAGACCCCACATCTCCTCCATTAATATAATGGAAGGGTGAGGACCTCGACCACTTTCCAAAATCTTGAAGTGGCCTCCTGTCAAAGATTATTGCCCACTCCTGATCTAATCAAAGTGCTGCTATAGTTTAGTTGACGCACACTGCAAATTCTAGTTAGCAAATTCTAGTTAGCAAAACTGTGAGACCACCTTAGTTACAACAGTCTTGCAGCCCACTAAGATGGAGGGCCAGTCACGGTCCACTCACTAACGTAGGTTGCCCATTGCTGTTCTGCACTCTCTGAAATAATAAGCTGGCATGAAAGAAGAGTATATCCCATTACTCTTGCATTGAAAAGAGTATATCCCATCACTTTCTTGAAAGTTTTCTTCCCACCTCTCCAAGAGTAAATAATTAAGTACAATTTATTCCTCAAAAGGCAAATTGTCAGCAATGTAGCGTAATGGATCTCTACATCTCCTGCTTCCTCAAACATTTTCCAGGCCAGCCTGGTTGTTTTTAATAAGAGTTAAACAAATTCACATTTTAATAAATTGAAAACACTTTAAAATATGGATTAGTAGATTTATAAGTTATTGAGAAGGAAAAATTTGTCTTTATCAGTTCAATTACAGTAAAATATATTTGCTTCTCTCCCCTCCCTTTCAATTCATAGCCTCTTTGAATCTGGTTGAGGAAAACCACTTTTTCAAAGTACCTTTTTATTTTCAATTTTGTAACAGGCAAAACAAGTGACTATGAGGTCTTTTAAATGTTTTATAAAGTAATTTAGCTAATTTCTTATCCTACAACTACCCAGGATGGACTTTCATACCTAAGTAATTTCAGTACTAGTTTTTGAGGTGTATTCTGATAGCTTTTTATCTATGGTTCAGGGTAGATCAGTGAGAAAATCATTGTCTCTTTTCATAGGATACTTTCTTGATCAACAAATTTCTGCTTTCTTGTCCCTACCCACTTTATCCTTGTGTGCAGAGTTGTTGTAGCCATGTTGGTCCCATTATATTAGACCCTCAAAGTGAGTGAGGGGTTATGCCTTTTATTGGACTGACTTCTCCTGATGAGAGAGAGAGAAGCTTTTGAGCTTCTTCAGGTTGTCTTCAAGTCCTGAAGGCCACCTCTGTGTAAGGTCAAAAGCTTATCCACCAACAGAAATTGGTTCAGTAAAATCTTACCTCTCTAACCTTTCCTCTTTATCAGTGGGATGTTATGTTTAGAAATCTTATATCCAGAGTAGGTGAAAGGCAGGGAGATCATTGTAACTTTTCAATTATCAACTTTTATTCAGGGAGTGTCCCTTTCCTCAACTTTTAAGTGAATGTGCATCCCTGTGCCAGTGATTGGAAAATTTCAGTAGCAGTGACCTGTTGGGTCACACGTGCAGGGTCTCCCTGTGTCATGCCTCTTCTGGCAGCTTTATAGTATTCTGTGATCAAACAACCCCCAAGTTCCTTCTCAATGTCCCTTGGCTTCAGAGCTATGACAGCAACTCTTTACTTATTATATATTAGACTTGTTGTTATTGAAGTGTTAGAGTAGTTAGCTATAGTTACCCTCCTCTTCCCCATTTATTTTATTATTTTAAAATATTAGATATCATTAAGTTTGTTCACCCTTTAGTATAGTGCAGCTTTAACCCCTTTCTCCTGGGCAATGCTACTGAAGGGTATGCCCAGATCCCCAGAGTTTAAACTACGCCTTGCTTGCTGGGACTCAGTCCTGGTCAGTATTGGAAATGCTGGGTGTGTCTGTTGCCTTGCCCAAAAGAGTAAATCAGTCCTCAAATGGTGAAAAAAGGAAGGCAACAAATTCCCTTTCCAGGGAACCAACCAAAAAGAATGAACTCCTGACACCCTTGGTATTGACCACAGCATGGCTAAGCACCTACAAGTCGGTGGGATATTCTGGTACTGAGACAGCCAAAGACCTTAAGTGAGCAGACTGAGAGAGGAGATCACCTTCTCCTTTGTACTGATGGGGAGCCTCTTAAACATCTGGCACTGAGCAGCTCAACATCATCACGGTTGGTCTACATCTACCATTCTCCTAGCACATAGCGCAACTACCTCTGTACTGATATCGGCTACAATAGCAGCACTATCTATAACACAGTTTTATGTATTGAGACTTGTGGCACCACCAGTTTCTTCATCATAAGGAGTTGCTAGTGTATGTAACTAGAATTTCCCTTTTATTTTGTACTGATATTACTCCAGCATGTTCAGTACTATGCTAATTTATACCATCACTGAGATCATCCTCGCCTTTTTTTAAGTGATGATTCACCCATTTGCATGACTGCTAGTCCAGGTCCACCAAAGTAACCTGCATATCAGCCAAGTGATACCCAAGAGTGGTATGGACATCCCACCACTGGTGCCATTCCTCCTGCAATGGTAATTTTGGAATTCGTGATCTTCGTACAGTCACTAGTACTTTAGGCCTTCTAGTGTCTACAGAGAGAAGAAGTAGTGTTCTGCATCAACCTTGGCAGGTAGAGCTTCTGGAGCAGTTTCTGAAGAATGGGAGGAGGCTTTGCAACAGGAAGTCATAGCTTTAGTCAATCTCTTCATCCTCCTCAGACGAAGCAGACATGTCTCCACCACTTAGTTCCAGAATCTATTTTCATAAATTGCTGACTTGCTTAAAATACCTCCGAAGAAATGGCAGAGTCTGGGTGTAAGCTGTTGGCTATTTTACAGATGCAAATGTAATCAAAGATTGCACTCTATAAATGAGGTATGTTGGACCCAACCAAGATCATCTGGCAGACCCTGGCAATAATACCACCCACTTGTAAATGAGTGGACAAAGTATTACGTCCCCACAAAAGCAATAGCTTTTTCTTCTCATATCCCCCACTAAATTCCTTAGAGGCCATGAATTACTGGGGCAGACAGTACCACTTCAGAACCATCCCATACATAACTGGAAAAAGACCGTTTTGGGGGCACAAGATCTGTTTGTCAGCAACTCTGCAATTTAGAATTGCCAATTATAAGATATCCAAGTTTATTATCTCTGATGATGACAAATAACAATAAAGAGGGTCACCTTCTTGCATGGATGGCCTTATAAGCTTCATTGGATAAGTTAGAAACAGCCATACGATTCATTGGCACTACAGAAGTTATGTGACTTCCTTTGTGACTCCACCTCTCTGGGTTTCCTAAGAAGGTCCAATCTACTGTTAATGATCTTCCCTTTGAGGTCCAGAAATTGTTCGTGGAAAGACTAATCCCTCCAAACCTTGAAGGATTCCAGGGCAACTCATTGGTCTTTAAATATTTACACATCTGCCAAAAGGAGGAAGCTGGAGAAATAGTCTATTCAACAGACAAGACCTACCCCTTCTGTCCAACCACAGAGGCAATGTGACCTACAAAAACACTGGTTACTTAATCCCATTTACCTCCTATTCCCCTCCTATCCACCTTCCCTTAATGTCCCTTTACAGGGATCTTTCTTGTGATCATTTTTTGAAATAAATCACTTCCTGTACTTGGCTGTGGTAGAACAAGTACTGACACAACACAGAAGGAGGAGGCTTTTATTTCCACTACTAAACCCAGAAAAAGAGTGGGGAATGAAAGCCTATTCTTAACCTAAGGAAACTCAGCATGTTCATGAAGGTTGAGTGTGGTCATTAAGGGAGCCGACAGCTTCTATTGCCCTGGGCAAGGTGTGTGTGCGTGCGTCCGTCCGTCCGGGGGAGGGGGGAGAGTGGCTCTGTGCCCCTGGAATGGGCAGAAACTCAGACAGAAGAGGTGGGTCTGGGGCAGCCAGCCCTCTGCTCTGCACCCCCAGCCCTCCAGAGCTACCCAAAGCATGTGGCATAGCACTCCCATGGCAATTTAAAGGGCCTCAGGTTCTGGCTGCCTCCCCTCTCCCATTAGCAGGTCTGATGGTCATGTTGGCAACTATAATCCAAGCACTGAAACAAAGGGACTGGGTCTTGACCTTTGCTCTCCAGGATGGATATTTTCATGTTTCCAGACACCCAGTGTTCTGGAGATTCTTCTAATCAATTCAGGGACTAGTTTGCTACCAGTACAAAATAATGCCTGATATTCTCCAAGGTTCTTGCAATTGGTGGTGGCCTACTTCTGCAAATAAGGATTCATGATATTCCCCTATTTTAAACAACTGTCTACTTAAAGCCCCTTTCTCAGGAAGATGCTGTAGAAGCTACTCCGAGGAGGATGGTTCTCTTCTCTCAGCTATTATAAATAAGCATGAAAAAATTGACAAGAACCATTCAAAAACTAGACTTCATTGTGACCCACCTTGATGTGCCGGAAGCCAAAGCCTTGTTACCACTATGCAGATTTATCACCTTTGATTGAACAGCACAGACTAGCAAACAGATACCATCATTCAGGACCTCTCTCCCAACTATTGGTCATATGACAGCAACTATGTTAGGTAAACATGCTAGCCTACATGTGCATTGTCTGTAAGGCTGGATCTGGACAACATACATTCAACACAGCCAAAGTCTGAACAAATGTCTCATCACTCAAAAGCCCTGTACACTGGTTGGCTCAACCCCACAATATAGGAGTCCTTTTCACACAGTCCCTTTTGTATGTATCCTTAAGGTCAGGGAGCTTTCTTGAACAACCACACAATTCATGGTAGGTGGGCCCCCACAGAGTCAAGTTTACACATCAACCTACTGGAATTATGAGCAGTCTGCAGTGCATGCTCATGCTTTTTACCTAAGACCATAAAGGTACTGACAGACAACATTCTTTTCATATTTATGTAAACCTTCAAAGGAAGAGCAAGGTCACATTCTGTCTGCATTAAAGCAATGAGATTATGAAACTGGTACATTGCTGTTGTGATAAATGCATCAGCTACCTATCTACAAGGATCTCAGAACACCAGCACAAATGCACTAAAGAGAAAGTTATCTGTCCCACAAGAGGAAAATAAGCATTATGGTCCTACAGAATACATTCAGACACTGGGGTTCTCCCCCTCCCCCGAGACTTTTTTGCTATAGGCTGGAATGCCAAATGTTCAGTTTTTTGCTTAAGAGCAAGATTCGAACCATGATCTCTGGGTGGTGATTTCCTTATCTGCTGTATGCATTTCTCCCTGTCACTCTGTATCCAGAGTGATACACAAGATAAAGACCAAACAGTACAGAGTCATCTTGATATTTCCCACGTGGCCTGAACAAACTTGATTTCCTTACCTGTTGAAGATGTCAGTATGCCCAGCGCTTGTTCTCTTTCTCTCCTTTCCCCCATATCTCCTATCTCAGGATGCAGACCAGGTTCATTATTCAAACTTAGAGATTTACACCAGGAGGCATGGTTCCAGAACCTTGAAATGACCTGCTCAAAAGATGTGAGGGACATGCAATTAACAGCAAAAGTACATGTTGTATGTACCTGTACAAATAGAAGATACCATATATAATGCCAGAACAGGTAAGCTACAGCTATTACATCCCCCGTGCCACTGGTTCTAGATTATGTACTGGACCTAAAAAAAAATCTGTTCCTATCAATGAAGGTGGCCTTTCTTGTCGCAATCAGATTTGTGGGGGGGAGTGAAAGAACTAGGGACTGTTGTGGTTTCAAAGATAACGTTTATTTTTAAGAGAGGCCACATCCTAAAATTTCTACCCAACGTGTCATCTTCATTTTATTTCAGTCAAGTCATTCACCTTCTATCATTCTTCCTCAACTTCATGAAAACAAATGATAGCTGGTGTTCCTCACTTTGAGATAGGCACTAGCACACTATTTTGAAAGGACTAAGCTCTTCAGGAAATCACTGAGTATTCCTTTCTCTTTAAAGGAATATCTAAAAGATCCACTAGCCAAGTAGAGGCTCTTTGAAATGTATTTCTGGGTGCTACCAACTGCATGATATGCAACCCCCCACTAGGGGCTCAAACACACTCCACCAAATCACTTTCCACTCTGATAGACTTTCTAAACCAGGGGTGGGGAACCTATAGCCTGCAGGCCAGATGCAGCTTGCCTTTATCTGGCCTGCAAAGCTCAAAGCTTCCCCCTGTCCCTCCAGGGGCCAAGTTGGCACTGGCAATTCAGCCACTCCTCACTGGTTAGCAAAAAGCACCACATTTAGTGCAAGTATTGTATTTAATTACAAATCAGTATGTTTTAATGATTACCAACCAGTGAGAATCAAACTTTCCTTAGGAAAATAACTAAAAGTATAGTGCAAAGCAACAGTGAAGTCCGTGGTGGAAATCAAGTTTTTTGTTTACTCATACTGAGACAGCCAAAGACCTTAAGTGAGCAGACTGAGAGAGGAGATCACCTTCTCCTTTGTACTGATGGGGAGCCTCTTAAACATCTGGCACTGAGCAGCTCAACATCATCACGGTTGGTCTACATCTACCATTCTCCTAGCACATAGCGCAACTACCTCTGTACTGATATCGGCTACAATAGCAGCACTATCTATAACACAGTTTTATGTATTGAGACTTGTGGCACCACCAGTTTCTTCATCATAAGGAGTTGCTAGTGTATGTAACTAGAATTTCCCTTTTATTTTGTACTGATATTACTCCAGCATGTTCAGTACTATGCTAATTTATACCATCACTGAGATCATCCTCGCCTTTTTTTAAGTGATGATTCACCCATTTGCATGACTGCTAGTCCAGGTCCACCAAAGTAACCTGCATATCAGCCAAGTGATACCCAAGAGTGGTATGGACATCCCACCACTGGTGCCATTCCTCCTGCAATGGTAATTTTGGAATTCGTGATCTTCGTACAGTCACTAGTACTTTAGGCCTTCTAGTGTCTACAGAGAGAAGAAGTAGTGTTCTGCATCAACCTTGGCAGGTAGAGCTTCTGGAGCAGTTTCTGAAGAATGGGAGGAGGCTTTGCAACAGGAAGTCATAGCTTTAGTCAATCTCTTCATCCTCCTCAGACGAAGCAGACATGTCTCCACCACTTAGTTCCAGAATCTATTTTCATAAATTGCTGACTTGCTTAAAATACCTCCGAAGAAATGGCAGAGTCTGGGTGTAAGCTGTTGGCTATTTTACAGATGCAAATGTAATCAAAGATTGCACTCTATAAATGAGGTATGTTGGACCCAACCAAGATCATCTGGCAGACCCTGGCAATAATACCACCCACTTGTAAATGAGTGGACAAAGTATTACGTCCCCACAAAAGCAATAGCTTTTTCTTCTCATATCCCCCACTAAATTCCTTAGAGGCCATGAATTACTGGGGCAGACAGTACCACTTCAGAACCATCCCATACATAACTGGAAAAAGACCGTTTTGGGGGCACAAGATCTGTTTGTCAGCAACTCTGCAATTTAGAATTGCCAATTATAAGATATCCAAGTTTATTATCTCTGATGATGACAAATAACAATAAAGAGGGTCACCTTCTTGCATGGATGGCCTTATAAGCTTCATTGGATAAGTTAGAAACAGCCATACGATTCATTGGCACTACAGAAGTTATGTGACTTCCTTTGTGACTCCACCTCTCTGGGTTTCCTAAGAAGGTCCAATCTACTGTTAATGATCTTCCCTTTGAGGTCCAGAAATTGTTCGTGGAAAGACTAATCCCTCCAAACCTTGAAGGATTCCAGGGCAACTCATTGGTCTTTAAATATTTACACATCTGCCAAAAGGAGGAAGCTGGAGAAATAGTCTATTCAACAGACAAGACCTACCCCTTCTGTCCAACCACAGAGGCAATGTGACCTACAAAAACACTGGTTACTTAATCCCATTTACCTCCTATTCCCCTCCTATCCACCTTCCCTTAATGTCCCTTTACAGGGATCTTTCTTGTGATCATTTTTTGAAATAAATCACTTCCTGTACTTGGCTGTGGTAGAACAAGTACTGACACAACACAGAAGGAGGAGGCTTTTATTTCCACTACTAAACCCAGAAAAAGAGTGGGGAATGAAAGCCTATTCTTAACCTAAGGAAACTCAGCATGTTCATGAAGGTTGAGTGTGGTCATTAAGGGAGCCGACAGCTTCTATTGCCCTGGGCAAGGTGTGTGTGCGTGCGTCCGTCCGTCCGGGGGAGGGGGGAGAGTGGCTCTGTGCCCCTGGAATGGGCAGAAACTCAGACAGAAGAGGTGGGTCTGGGGCAGCCAGCCCTCTGCTCTGCACCCCCAGCCCTCCAGAGCTACCCAAAGCATGTGGCATAGCACTCCCATGGCAATTTAAAGGGCCTCAGGTTCTGGCTGCCTCCCCTCTCCCATTAGCAGGTCTGATGGTCATGTTGGCAACTATAATCCAAGCACTGAAACAAAGGGACTGGGTCTTGACCTTTGCTCTCCAGGATGGATATTTTCATGTTTCCAGACACCCAGTGTTCTGGAGATTCTTCTAATCAATTCAGGGACTAGTTTGCTACCAGTACAAAATAATGCCTGATATTCTCCAAGGTTCTTGCAATTGGTGGTGGCCTACTTCTGCAAATAAGGATTCATGATATTCCCCTATTTTAAACAACTGTCTACTTAAAGCCCCTTTCTCAGGAAGATGCTGTAGAAGCTACTCCGAGGAGGATGGTTCTCTTCTCTCAGCTATTATAAATAAGCATGAAAAAATTGACAAGAACCATTCAAAAACTAGACTTCATTGTGACCCACCTTGATGTGCCGGAAGCCAAAGCCTTGTTACCACTATGCAGATTTATCACCTTTGATTGAACAGCACAGACTAGCAAACAGATACCATCATTCAGGACCTCTCTCCCAACTATTGGTCATATGACAGCAACTATGTTAGGTAAACATGCTAGCCTACATGTGCATTGTCTGTAAGGCTGGATCTGGACAACATACATTCAACACAGCCAAAGTCTGAACAAATGTCTCATCACTCAAAAGCCCTGTACACTGGTTGGCTCAACCCCACAATATAGGAGTCCTTTTCACACAGTCCCTTTTGTATGTATCCTTAAGGTCAGGGAGCTTTCTTGAACAACCACACAATTCATGGTAGGTGGGCCCCCACAGAGTCAAGTTTACACATCAACCTACTGGAATTATGAGCAGTCTGCAGTGCATGCTCATGCTTTTTACCTAAGACCATAAAGGTACTGACAGACAACATTCTTTTCATATTTATGTAAACCTTCAAAGGAAGAGCAAGGTCACATTCTGTCTGCATTAAAGCAATGAGATTATGAAACTGGTACATTGCTGTTGTGATAAATGCATCAGCTACCTATCTACAAGGATCTCAGAACACCAGCACAAATGCACTAAAGAGAAAGTTATCTGTCCCACAAGAGGAAAATAAGCATTATGGTCCTACAGAATACATTCAGACACTGGGGTTCTCCCCCTCCCCCGAGACTTTTTTGCTATAGGCTGGAATGCCAAATGTTCAGTTTTTTGCTTAAGAGCAAGATTCGAACCATGATCTCTGGGTGGTGATTTCATTATGTTGGCTCCATTTGTTAGGCTTCTCTAGAGAAGTACAAAACACCATTGAAGACCTGCCATTTGAGGGCTAGAAATTAATCTTGGCCAATACTGACACTGAACTCTATTCTCTAAAAGACTTGAGGGCAACCCTCAACTCTTGGTTATATACATCCCCCAACAGAAGAAAAAAGTCAATCAAATGTATAAGCCCCGTGGTAGAGCAGCATCCTATTTATCCCAGAGACACTACGACATGAGGTGCCTCTAGAGACAACAGAAGCAGAGAAAGCCACAGGATCAGCAAACTACACCCCAGTCCATCAATGGCAGGCAGATATTTTGAACATCTGGTCAGGGGTTCGATGTTGTTTCCTCACGCCAGCAGTTACAGAGTCAACCTTTTTCCAACACCTTTTTCCAACCTTTTTCCAACACCTGGGCTGCAATAATAAAATGGGCCCTAGAGGTCCTGAACAATAGCCTAGCGATCCCAGTCATCAAATTTCCACCAACCCAATCCCCTTCCCTGTCCCTCTTCAGGGACCCTTCTCATGAGCCCATTACAGCAAGAAATAAACAAACTGCTACAAATGGTAGCAATAGAAATTATTCCAGAATGTCACAGGGGAAAGGGGATCTACTCCAGATACTTCCTCACGCAAAAAAAGTAGGGAGGATAGAGGCTCACATTGTATTTACAAAGGCTGAACAAGTACTTAAGAAAGCAGTGATTTACCATGACAACACTGGCAAAGATAATTCCTGCATTCGACCTTCAGGATACATATTTTCATATTGCAATAAGACCATCTCACAAATTCTTCAGATTCACACTAAATAATCAATACTGTCGGTACTCAGCGGCTCCCAGAGCCTTCTCAAATTCTGGCCATGGCAGTAGCACACCTATGAAAATCAGGAATAGTAATCTTCCCTTACCTGGACGATTACCTGATAGTAGCTCCAACAGAACAGCAGGCCAAACAATCCACAAAAACCACAATCAGACATTTTACAGAGCTGAGGCTACAAATAAATGCACAGAAGTCCAACCTGACCCCTACCACCTTTGGAGATGTACAAAGTTGACTTTGATTTAAACAATCCACAATAATTTAAAAACACTGCAACCACCTTTACAGATCTCAGCCAGTTTTCCCCCCATACTCATGTGGCTTTATCTTCCTCTTTGATTAAGTTCACAGAAGAATTCAGGATTAGATCTATAGAGTTCTTCTTCAAGGAGTGTCCCAGTGAGTGCTTTCCTGTAGGTGTTTTGGCACCCCTGCACTTGTTATCAGAAATTTTGGGCTGCAGTATTCCCCTGGGTATCAGCACGCATGTGAAGCACCACTCACGAAGTCAAGCGTCGCCTTAGTTCCTTCTCAGCTGCTCCTGGTTCATTTAAGACAGAGCAGTTATCCATGATAGAATAGCTAGAGTTGATAGATTTGTGTGTGTTAGTTATTAATATTGAGTTTAAGTAGTTTTGGCAAGTTAATTCATTGGTTTTTTTTTCCCCCGTTAGTGTTGGGTTAAAAAAAAAATTTTATTCTACAGTTATTATAGTTAAATTAGATACGCTAGATTCACCAGACTTCAAGAGATATCTGACCTGCAGAATGTCAATTCCTATCTTGTATGGACATGTCCAGTGCACTAGATGCCAGGGTAACGACCATTCACCAAAATCTTGCCATAACTGTAAAAAGCTCTCACCCAGGTCGCTCAAAGCAAGAGAGCTCCAGCTTAAGCTGCTCTCTATGGGAAAGACTGACAGACCAGTGTTGGAACCACCTTCAACTACATGGCTGCTTTGTACATCTCCAAAGGTGTTTCTCTCCTCGCATTCCACCCCAAACACGCTGCTGGTTGATGTGGCAAATAACAGGGGGAAATAAACACAATTCAAGTTGACCCTATATGCAGGGCCGGCCCAAGCCCTTTTGGTGCCCTGGGCCCGGGAGCGCAGTGCCACCTCCGGGCACAGGGCTCATGCGCAGGCCCGTCCGTGGGGTGCGGGTCTGCCCCTCCCAGGGTGCGCAGGCCCCTCCCCCGGGGCACACGGAGCATGCGCGGGCTGGTCACGGCCACTGGTGCGCAGCCTGGGGCCTGCCCCCAGGGCGCGCAGCGCATGCATTGCCCAGCCTGGCCTGGCAGGGCAGGCGCCCGCAGCCATGGGG